ATATATATATATATATATATATCATTGTACCCTTTGTGAATATAGTATAGTATAGCGTAGTTTAGTACGTTCTTGTAGAGGTGTACAAGTAGTTCTGTTTCTCATTCTGCCAGGCATACACGTTGAAACTATATGTTGAATTTCGCTAGAAGCTAGTAATCTTATCATGGTGCCTTCTACAATTGTTGTGCAATTAAATTTGACTTCAATTATTTCTATATATCATCAATATTGATATACGCATTTTATACAGGTATTTTGATCCTAACCATAGCCGTACATATCTCTGTACTACGATCATCTGTACGAAAAACGCTATCAAAGAAAGCAATTTGCACCATAAGTAGGTGGCTGGTGCACAGGCGGGTAGGGGATTACTGCTGCTAAATTGGCCCTACATGTAGATTGTTATTATTCACACGTCAGTACAGACCTGATACTCAGGTCCTACAGGGGCCATTATCCGTACTTACTAAAACTCCTGTCCTGAATTGCCCCAATTTACAATGATTAACGACGGGATTTGGCAACATTCATCAACATCTTGATAAGGGCCGGGTGCTTGGAAGAGGAAGTTCTTTCTATTAGGCGTTGCCGTGGATCACGGAAATCCAGACTGATTGACGTGAACATCTAGCTTGATGATTAGCATGAAAATCTGGGTTAATTATAGCCTCCATGCCAAAACAGGGGGTTTGTAGGGTCTTAAGGGTCTTTGGGAGCTTTTATGTGCTATTTTCTGATTGCATATAGACAACATAGCCGGCCTAGTTGAATTACCCCCGTTTTTTGAACTGGGCTAATCCGAAAACAGCCGAAGACCACCAAACCCCCAGTTCTATAAGTCTGCTACGGAGGTTAGGTTGATTATAACTTCTATCCTCAATTGCCCCAATTCACAATGATTAACAATGAGATCCTTCAAAGGCGGAGGTGTTTGAATGAGAATGTTTTCTTTAGTAAGTGTTTCCGCGACTAGGCTCATGGACATCTAGGTTGATTACCATGAAAATGTAGGTTGATCCTATCCTGAATTGCCCCAATTTACAATGATTTACAACGAGATTCTTGAAAGGCGGGGGTGTTTGGATGAGAACGTTTTCTCCAGTAGTCGTTGCCATGGACATGAACATGTAGGTTGATTAACATGAAAATGTAGGTTGATTAAAACTCCTATCCTGAATTGCCCCAATTGACAATGATCAACGATCTGATTCGGTAGCATCTTGAAAGGCGGGGTGTTGAATGAGGAAGTTTTCTCCAGTAGGCGTTGCCACTATTAGGCCCATGGACATCTAGGTTGATTAACATGAAAATGTACACGGCGGTCTGTCACCACGGCATTCTTTCCCATTGCTATGCGCGTTCGAAAAGGTATCGGGTTACAAGACACTATTTTGGCCTGTTTTGGACTACCCGTAAAATATTTGAAAATACACAAATAATATTTAGGGGTAAATTTCGTCAAATTAAAATGAAATCATCGTCTTAACATCCTTTCAATGTTAGCTTTTTATGTTAAATCAATGATTTTTTAAAATTTCTCTCAGAAAGACGATTATTTTCGGGTTTTCGAGCACAAGTCATATCACGTTTTTAGGCAAACATCGTTCAAACCTGGCTACGTATATTACCCCAGATCCCCGATTTTTATATTTTTCGCAGACTAGGAATAAGACAAAAAATCGTGTTTTAGGGATTTTTTAATTTCTGATTTTAAGTCTAGTTTTTGTCGACATATTGGTGAAAAAATGGCATTTTTTGACATTTTTCTCACTAAATTACCCAAAATTCAAAATTGAGGCCATTTTTCAAAAATCCCTAAAACACGATTTTCGGGACAACCGTTACAGTCATTTTGAGCCTTAAATGGGGTATGTTTGATTCTCCATGTTTCCTGGTTTGAACGAGTTTTGGAGACATGTCATATCGCCAGAAAGTGTGCATTGTGTTATTCATACTGGCGTAAAGAATCATTACAGTATTCAAGGTCACTCAGGGATACGACAGTAGCTTCGCTACATGTTACATGTCCACCAAAAATAATAGCGGACATGTACTGTCCAGGAAACTGTTTGTATCTATAGAAAAGTGTTGTTTTTTATCTGTTGCAATGAACGGAGGTAGAAAGGCTTGTTTTGCCGCTTTATAGTGAAATGGCCGCAGGTGACCCCGAAATAGAACGCGGGTTCGATTCGAATTGCCCAGATCGAACACGATCGAACACAGTTCGGGTTCTATGACATGTGGGAACTTTGCAGCCCAGATTTTACCACCGTGGTAGGTTGATTAGAACTCCTATCCTGAATTGCCCCAATTTACAGTGATTAACGACGGAATTCGGTAGCATCTTGAAAAGCGGGGGTGTTGAATGAGGAAGTTTTCTCCAGTAGGCGTTGCCACCACTAGGCTCATGGACATGGACATCTAGGTTGATTAACATGAAAATGTAGGTTGATTAAAACTCTTATCCTGAATTGCCCCAATTCACAATAATTAACGACCTGATTTGGTAGCGTCTTGAAAGGCGGGGTGTTGAATGAGGAAGTTTTCTCCAGTAGGCGTTGCCACCACTAGGCTCATGGACATGGACATCTAGGTTGATTAACATGAAAATGTAGGTTGATTAAAACTCTTATCCTGAATTGCCCCAATTCACAATAATTAACGACCTGATTTGGTAGCGTCTTGAAAGGCGGGGTGTTGAATGAGGAAGTTTTCTTCAGAAGGCGTTTCCACGATTAGGCTCATGGACATCTAGGTTGATTACCATGAAAATGTAGGTTGATCCTATCCTCAATTGCCCCAATTTACAATGATTTACAACGAGATTCTTGAAAGGCGGGGGTGTTGAATGAGGAAGTTTTCTCCAGCAAGCGTTGCCACGACTAGGCTCATGGACACGAACATGTAGTTTGTTGATTGACGTGACAATCTTGGTCGATTGACAGACTGATGGGCTTATCTGGCACTTCAGTTGACGTAGCTGCAAAACACCAATTGAAAACCAATTTCACGACCGAGCATGTCATGTACTCCTACATGCAATCTAGGTCAAGAGAAGCCCATCCATTCACCAAGATTGCCTTCACTAAAAACCTGTTCACGTGTCATCCCGACAGGTGGCTTCTGACTGGCAATTGCACGGTCCTGTAGCAGACTTCAGATCCCCATTAGGGTGGTTCATGTCTTGGAATTGGAATCGCCGAGCGAGTCCAAAATTCGTACTCATAAAGTACACCACACGGGCAACGCCACATTATGATATAGTCAAACAGAAGGCCCATATATGAGAAAAATCAAGAATTAGAGTTAGATGAACAAGATGGACTGATAGTCATCGAAAATTTGGAGGCTAGTATTCTTACCCTTCAAAAACTTGTCACTGCTGAAAGCATCCTCTAGTAACAGAGTTAGATCAGATTTTGACAGTGTGTCATGTTTTCTATCCATACAAAATTGCCAAATTCATAGTCAAGGCTTGGACGCATGTAGCGTCTCCAATTAAAGATACCAAGATTAGACTCCGAAATTACAAGCCATACAATCACAAGCCACAAGCATTCTGATGAGCTAATCTGACGGAAAATTATTCATTGGATTTAATATGCTTGGGAGCGTATCTGTGTATGTTGGAGATTTAACCTGGTAAGTTTTGCGTTACGAAATGTTTAAAACTATGTGATGAATGGTGATAGATGGTGATATGATGCATGTAAGTTCACAGACCTTTACTCTACACAACTGAATGATTGGGCCGCCTATAGAACTGTATTTATAACGCCATGTTGCTTCTACCCTTAGGGATCATCGTTACGTCGATCAATCATATGCAGATGGCTGGTCCCGTGCATCGGAATAAGCAAACTCGTGCGAAGACACGATTATGAGCGCGCAGCCTGAGAGCATTTTGTTCGCGGCCATGTGACAAGCTCTGACATTCGGAAGGGTGTGAAGCATAGCGGAACATTTATTACCTTCATCCTCAAGGGCAGAAGTAGTGGGGTCTATTCGGATCTCGGTTACCCATATGTTCCCGAACCAGCCGTGGGGTCGCCGGGTGGTTTACGAAGACGTGCAGGCGGTGCATACATGTAAGTGCCTCGATCAGCAATACAGCAGTGGTAATTGGATCACTGGAGTGTGACAACGAAAGATTCAAAGCAAGACAAGAGCAAAAGACGACTGCCATCGCAAAAATCCGTAGACGTGCCACCTGCAGGTTGGGATTTATTCCATTCCTGAACTTCCCGAGGAGAATAATTGGAGATGAGTCAGCCTCAGCCTGCGTGGGCTCAAAGCGCAATATCCGGCCGGTCTAGGCAGAGAATCCTGTTGGTCTGTCTGTCTCCCCTTTATTTCAAATTGATGAATGGATAAATACGTCTTCGGACCCGGTAGCGCCTGGCAAAATGCGTGAAGATCACAGTTGGAAGGTAAAACTACCCAAAATTGAAGGAGGTGAGTGTCTGATTTTTTTTCTTTGGTGACTAAGATAAATCACAGCAATTCCTCTAGCTCTATCGTGCAATATTCTGTAAAACCCTTACACTTAGTGAGAGAAATAGAAGATACCTCACGTCGTGCCGTTCATGATTTTTCAAATTTCAGCTGATTTCATTAAACATATTCAGGACAGCGCTTTTTTGGACGGTACGCTGGCAATTCCTTGCTGTAGTGATTCGCACATGCCCCTACAGCAAGTCAGTAATTAGGATTTTCCGTCACGTTCTAGTCATTTACTCAACCATATTCTTTTATGTTCTCAATTGCTGTAGGACCGTGGGAGGTCTTCCTGTATGTAAACATCGCATGAAGCCGTGTTGTAAGAAGGATGTACGCTGGCGCTCTTCGAGTGCCCGTTGGCAACCTCAGAAGTCGCCGCAAAAGCAGTTTAACTGGTCTCAGCGCCTTGGGACAAAAATGGGTTCGGGCTACGGCGCGTCTAAGCGGGAGCCGCAAGAGGTCCAAACGGTTGGTCCTAAACGTAGGAGGCACGCACTTCGAGGTATCCAAGCACCTTTTAGACTTGTACCCGAACACACTACTAGGTAGCCCGGAGAGAGAATTCTTTTACGATTTTGAGAAAAACGAATACGTCTTTGACCGCGATCCTCAAGTCTTCAGACACGTACTGAATTACTATCGCACCGGTAAGCTGCATTATCCAGAGGATGAGAGGCTACTGGCTTACGAACAAGATTTATCGTTCTTTGGCATTGACGAACAAGATCTCGGACATATGATCAGCCCGTGCTGTAGAGAAGCTTATCTGGATAAAAAGGACGCACTCATCCAGTTTCAACCACTCATCGACCAGTACAAACCGCTTCCTGAACCGACATGTTTCAGGGAGAGTTTATGGTACTCTATGGAAAACCCTCATCGAGGAGCGTTTGGTGTAGCATTCTTCTATGTCACAATGTTTTTCATCGTTATATCCATTGCGTCAAACATTATTGAAACATCGTACTGCCCTGGACCTAACGAGGATCAGTACATGTTCTGTGGACAGAGATATCCGCTGACGTTTGCGGCCATAGAGTCGGCGAGTGCCTTAGTCTTTACAGTAGAGTATATCCTTCGGCTATTCGCCTCACCCGACAGGTGGTCTCACGTATGGAAAGCAATGAGTATCATCGATCTCCTCAGCATCCTGCCGTACTACGCGACCGTGTGCCTACCGAAGGACTCAGACCTCAACGGAGCCTTCGTCACCATGAGAGCTCTCCGCGTGTTCCGAGTCTTTAAACTCTCTCGTACGTCTCACAACCTAAGACTTTTGGGCTACGTTTTAAGGTATTGCATGAAAGATCTGAGTTTTCTCTTCTTCTCACTGGTCATGACTATGGTAATATTTTCCACAATACTTTATTACGTCGAGCGAGGAAGTACTGATACTTTGTTCACATCGGTTCCGGCAACGTTCTGGTATGTGGTCGTGACGATGACGACTTTGGGGTACGGTGAAATGGTGGCAGAATCTTCCTTAGGGAAAATCGTGACAGGACTTTGTTGCGTGTTTTCGGTACTGCTATTAACACTTCCGGTTACTGTAGTCGTGTCGAACTTTAACAACCTCTACAAGCCGGAGAAGTTGAAGAAAGAAGGCGTTTTCTCACCCAAACGGAAAAGATGTACAGGTCCAAGGTTAGGAAAGAAGGAGTTCAAAATGTTCCAAGCGCAGCACAAGCACTTATTGAAGTGCATGGAAACCGCCACCGATAGGAAACTTCCCGGACTTGTTTTACGATATAGTTACGGAAACGAGTTGAGGATAGATGACGAGGACGATGAGCTTGAACAAGATCTATTAAAACATCCCGGACTGTGCCCTTCAAGAGGCAACACACCCTGATGTATTCCGAATATCAATGAAACGGACCAAAACCAAATTAACAAATTGATTATGAGAAATAGAAGAAGTAGATATCCTTATGCTGCTTATGCTGCACAAATGGTGAGTTGTTTAACATGAGATATCGTTGTGTGTCGTTTTCTCCTTCTTTGATACGTGTGTTATCATGGCTTCAAGTTTACTAAGTACGAGTAGCAACTTATAATCCGTACGTCTACATATGTGTTGTATGTAATATGATTGATTCTAGATAGCACACGTACAGTTGTTCAAGCCCTGGGACTAATGCTGAGGTCACATTTCCAAACCGGGGCTCGGCCGGGTAGTCTTATGGAACTAAAAGTATGATAAAAAAAGCACACAAAAAAGTTGAAGACATTAATAATGGGAGCTGTTTGCGTACATTATTGATATAAATTCTTGATTTTTTCGTTAATCTAAACAGCCCGGTCGGGCCACGGTTTGGAAATGTGATCTCAGCATAACGTTTACTTGTAAGCCAGTTATGGTGTCGTCAGAATGCAATTTGTCATTCCCGTAAGTTAAGAGCCTTTCATCGGTTATTAGCTGGAATGTGGGTCTATGATTCTACGAACTGTTCCGTATTTGGGAGTATATACAAGACCACCAGTCATCGTGTGGTACATTTTAAGTTAATCAAATACCGTAGCTATATCATTTCACGTAGTATTTGTTCGACCTACTGCAATCACATGTTGATTTTGTGAAAAATATATCAAAGGTGTTGTTGACCAAATTTATGCACCATTTAATGACTAGTAACGACATGTGTATTAAATATATTCATTGATGACAACAGCCATAGAGCAACATTTGCTCATTTTTCGGCCCGGTCATATTCGTCGCATGTTGTCGTAAAAGTTTCAGGCTGACTATGACAGAAATATCCACTGACTGAAGTGTGTTTACAGAAAGCATTTTCAAGCAGGTTCAGTTGAAGTTTGAAGATCGTACGTTGATCGTGCGACGATCGTACGATGAATGTGACCGAACCCTTATACTAGGAAACATATCTTGATGCAACTATATAATGCAAAAATATATTATATATATATCTTACAAAGAGCTATATCCATTTGCTATGCATATATATGGTTTACCAACCGCACAGTTATGAAATAATATGGTTCTCTGTAGCTCTACTGCCAAGGCCACACCAAGTTAATTTGTTGGTTTTCGGATTCGCTTCTTAATTTTTTTCTAATTTGAACAAAAAAAAAAAGATTCTGGTTTTGAATCAATTCAAATATGCTCATATTTTGCCACCAACAGGTGAGGAAAGTTCTTTTCTTTCTAGTTGTTACAGTTTTTCTATCTATCAAAGCAGTGATTAGAAGTTCACGATTCATTGTTTGAATATTAATCAAGCCTTTTGTGTTGATTTTATCGCTCCTATCGTAGCTTTTGAGGCTATAATATGATGCCTAGGCTAGTTTGTATTTTTCCTTTTTTCGCCCTGTCGCTTCATATTTTTTCTGAAAAAATCCGAGAACCAACAAATTAAATCGGTGTGGCCCAACGTGTTTGTTTTCATGTTATCTCAAAAGGCAACAGACAATCGTGATTGCTGTGACTCCATCAGATGCATTAACTGATTGTAATCGCCCATCGGATGGGTATGCTTCCAAGGGCATCTGAAATTAAAATCTTCTGCCTAATGACGTGGAGATAATTACATGTGTCATTATGAATCGTTTGAGCAAATGTCTGCATCCGTGATGCTCGACAGAAAAATAAAACATCAACACAGGAAAACTAATATGTTTTAATAATCAGTTGACTTGCAGGAAGTATGCTATTAGTTTCTCAATATTACATCAACGTTGGAAATGAGTGATTGGCCTGTCACCACCGCATGTAACGTTATAATTGAAAAGAAACAAAGGGGTTATATGCAGTAAATTGTTCGCGTTTTGTATGTAAGGCCATGTTGATTTGATCATATGGGTGACATCCTCTAGGAATCCTAAATCTGATGCAAAAAAAGGGTTGCCTTCATTATGAAATCTACGTGGTCATGACGGTTAAACGAATGTATAAACACACAGAGTACGGTACGGCGAACAATAGACTCTTTATTGTCACAATTTTTTTCTTCTTTTATTTTTTTGTTTATTTTGTATTCCACGACATTAGCATTCATTTGCAACATATATTTGCTCAGTTTACAGCTTCTTTGTACGATTTATAGTATATATATATATATATATATATATATATATATATATATATATATATATATATGGTAAAAACGGACGAAAATTCATGCGCGCGTGGATGTCATCCGTATTACTGGTAATTTTTTTATTCCAACATTTCATGACCAAACGTGGCGATGGCGCACTCAAGCTATATCAACTTATTTTATGCCGCCACCAATACAGAATACAAATACAAGACAGGACAATACTCATTTCTACCTGACTGAAGTGAGGAAATTCGTGTTAAGTGCCTTTTCAGAGGCCACAAGATCGGTGACATGTCAGGACTCGAACCCGGGACCTCTTGGTTCCGAGTCGAGCACGACTCCACCCCTATTGGTAAATTTGATAAAACATCGTGACGATACTGCAAATAACTGGCGTCTGGAGGAATCTACCCAAAGTGTGCATCCATCGGCGCACACAATGAGGACCAATCAAGTGATTAATGCTTTTAAGAAAAGAGCAATCAACAGACAATCAGTGATCTGCAATCTTTTCACCCAGATCTAATTGCATATAGCTAATGCTACAAAGGCGAGCCGTCTACACAAAGGGACCTACTACAAAATACTGGAGTCATGTACCTTGCACGTGCATCACTGACGACCAGCTAAATGATTAATTCTTTAACAAGCAATCAACAAATAATCAGTGATCTGCAACCTTATCACCGAGATCTAATTGCACATAAATAATACTACACAGGCAAGCCATCTACATTGTGCACAATCAAAGGGACCTACTACAAAATACTGGAGTCATCTACCTTAGGCCATAATGATTTGATTATATGGATGCCATCCGCGCGCGCATGAATTTTCGGCCGTTTCCCCCAAAAAAGGTTTCAACCATACTTTAAATCGTACAAAACCGTTGCAAAATAAGCAAATATATACCCTAAGTTAAAAAAACATTGCAAAACGATACCAATGTCGTAGAATGCCAAAATCAAACGAAAAATACGAAAATGTAAAGACATTAATTTGAAGACTAGATTGTTCACCAAATTAAACCATACTCTGTGTCATTTGTTCAACCTTCAAAGCGGTAGATTTTATAATAAAAGTAACTTTTTATGGCCAAACCCTTTTTTATTTGCACGCTCGCATCAGTTTTGGGGTTCACAGAGGATGTCATCCATATAATCAAATCAACATGGCATTACATATACATCACCGACACATGTACATGGATGACTAATCAAATGATCCTTTTCTGTATACGTACATACAAGCAATCAACGAACAATCAGTGATCTGCGAACTTATGACCGGAATCTAATTGCATCTAAATGATACTACACAAGCCAGCTGTATACACAATCAAAGGAGACCATTTCCGTAATTAAGCGTACCTTTTGTCAAGAACCATGTTAACGGATCGTATAATGCATGCATTTATGTATCATTTAGGAATAACCCTCCCTTGGGATTACGTCTAAATTGCTTCAGACTTCCTGTCATTGTTAGCGTAATGTTTGCCCTACTAACCTGATGACCTGGCCTAGTTTCTTTGATATTAGAGTTAAATCCTCCAGTTGTAATAGCGTAAGAAAAGTTTTCATAAAAGGGGCCAATGACGCGTGTGGGTGTATATCATTGGACCAAGCTGGGCTTCATCAAACGTAAAAGTATTCGTATCTTACCGCAAGAAAAATATGCTAAAATGCACTTTCTTGAAATTCTTGTCTCATGGACAAGATTTTTTTCTTGGGCGAAGAATCTGTCAGTGGAAGAAAATTATTATTCTCTGAAGAAAAACAAGATTGGCATTTTTGGTAGTGTACTTGACTCTGGATATCTTTTTATTGATACGAATAAAATAGACAAGATTTGAAACTAAGTAAAATTTTATTCCACAAATCCAAACGGTTTGGGTTGCTGAAATTTTGCCAACTTTGCACTTCGGCACCTGCCATGGGGGTGGGTCCCGTACAAAGGCCTTATGACTGGCCGAAAAAAACATCCTGATTCAAATTATACGGTCAAATTATACAGTTTTCACATCGCTGTCGTGCACGAAAGAATTTCGGCAGCTTTCTGAAGAACTCTGCAACCGATCTTGTACCCTTGGGAAAGGCACTTTACACGACTTTCCTCACTTCCCTCAGGTGGAATGAGCATTGCATTGTCCACTGTGTTGGTGGTGGAGTGTGTCCCCACCACGTAAAAATACTGTGTCGCACTACTTTGTGCCCGGACTACTTTAGATACGGGGTTCGCCCATAAGTACTTTGTACTGCGACCTTAATATTGCAGGCCACTATTCATTAATGTGATTAATGTAATCTGAAGCAGCAGCTGAAAAAGCCAATTTTCTCTCATAAATCTTGAATACACTAAGCAAGACAACAAAGTGATCAATCCACCCACTCAGTCTTCTTCTGTCAGTAACAACAACCCCGTCAAATGTGAGTCAACTCAATATGTTAATAGTTTGATAATACCGTATTTGAGACGACACTCATAATGCTGTATATATCTCTCTTGTAAATTACGTTATGACCGTAGCAATGATGTAACATAAAGCATCTATCAAGTAATTAATTTTAACGGCAAGTGGTGTAGAAATAAAATCGTTTTCCGATATTTTTTTCCAATTTATATTTTCTTGTTTTACAGCTGATTTGCACCATTTACAGCTTAAGAACTTTTGTTGGAAAAGGATCGCTTGAAAATAGCCAAATATCGTACATAAATCGTGTTCTTTGACTTTATAAAGAACATTTATATTGATTGATCCATATTACAGTTTTACACAAAAAGACCTCCACGG